TCGCTGCCCAGGCCAGCCGCGACGTCGAGGAGGCCCGCCCCGCGCAACGTCTCCCTCCACCGCCTCCCATTGCTGTTGCACGCTTCGCGTCCGCGCACGTCCTGACCGAAAATGTGGGATCGTGCAGCGTGTGTAAAGGCTCTGCTACTAAGGCGTGTAGGTCCGACTGGTTAAAAAGTGAGTGCTTCCAACTCTGCTCCGTGGATGGTAGGTTGTCCCGTCTGCCCCAAGGACGTAGGCTGCACCGCGCAGGAGGCTGGGTCGACCCCTCACATGCCTTAATTTACCACCGCAGCTTGAAGATGTGGCACTGCGGCACATGCGGTTATTTCGGTTTGTCCCAGCTCAGGGGATTAGGCCAGCCGTGCAGTCTGCCAGTCTCCAAGACCCGACGAGAATATATCGATCGGTTGAGCAGGGACTTGCATCCCGAAGCTGGGACCTGAGCTCAACCCCTTTTATCCCTACGGGATGGCGGACATCCGGGAAATCCTTCCAGGTGTGGGAGCCGCGGGACCTCCTCCGGGCTCCACGCCCACCTCCAGCGCTCGCCTCTTGCGCGCACGCCCGCCTCCGAGGCGAACGCTCGCGCCCAAGAGGCCACCCAAGGCCTAAGAACATGGCGGCAGCTGCGCAGATCGCAAGCCCCCCAGGGGGCGGCGAGGTACCGAGGTGATCCGCGTGGGACGCGCCTCCGCTGGGCCTCCCAGGAGCCCACGAAAGTGGCGACAGCTGCGCAGATCGCAAGCCCCCCAGGGGGCGGCGAGGTACCGAGGTGACCCGCGTGGGACGCACCTCCGCTGGGCCTCCCAGGAGCCCACGAAAGTGGCGACAGTTGCGCAGATCGCAAGCCCCCCAGGGGGCGGCGAGGTACCGAGGTGACCCGCGTGGGACGCACCTCCGCTGGGCCCCCCAGCAGCCCACGAAAGTGGCGACAGCTGCGCAGATCGCAAGCCCCCCAGGAGGCGGCGAGGTACCGAGGTGATCCGCGTGGGACGTACCCCCGCTGGGCCTCCCAGCAGCCCGCGAACATGACGACAGCTGCGCAGATCGCAAGCCCCCCAGGGGGCGGCGAGGTACCGAGGTGATCCGCGTGGCGTACCTCCGCTGGGCTTCCCAGGAGCCCACGACAGTGGCGACAGTTGCGCAGATCGCAAGACCCCCAGGGGGCGGCGAGGTACCGAGGTGACCCGCGTGGGACGTGGGCCTCCCAGGAGCCCGCGGAAGTGGCGACAGCTGCGCAGATCGAAAGCCCCCCAGGGGGCGGCGAGGTACCGAGGTGATCCGCGTGGGACGGACCTCCGCTGGGCCTCCCAGGAGCCCACGAAAGTGGCGACAGTTGCGCAGATCGCAAGCCCCCCAGGGGGCGGCGAGGTACCGAGGTGACCCGCGTGGGACACACCTCCGCTGGGCCTCCCAGCAGCCCACGAAAGTGGCGACAGTTGCCCAGATCGCAAGCCCCCCAGGGGGCGGCGAGGTACCGAGGTGATCCGCGTGGGACGTACCTCCGCTGGGCCTCCCAGGAGCCCACGAAAGTGGCGACAGTTGCGCAGATCGCAAGCCCACCAGGGGGCGGCGAGGTACCGAGGTGATCCGCGTGGGACGTACCTCCGCTGGGCCTCCTAGGAGCCCACGACAGTGGCGACAGTTGCACAGATCGCAAGCCCCCCAGGGGGCGGCGAGGTACCGAGGTGACCCGCGTGGGACGTACCTCCGCTGGGCCTCCCAGGAGCCTACGAAAGTGGCGACAGTTGCGCAGATCGAAAGCCCCCCAGGGGGGCGGCGAGTTACCGAGGTGATCCGCGTGGGACGTACCTCCGCTGGGCCTCCCAGCAGCCCACGAAAGTGGCGACAGCGCGCAGATCGAAAGCCCCCCAGGGGGCGGCGAAGTACCGAGGTGACCCGCGTGGGACGCACCTCCGCTGGGCCTCGCAGGGGCCCACGAAAGTGGCGACAGTTGCGCAGATCGCAAGCCCCCCAGGGGGCGGCGAGGTACCGAGGTGACCCGCGTGGGACGTACCTCCGCTGGGCCTCCCAGGAGCCCACGAAAGTGGCGACAGTTGCGCAGATCGCAAGCCCCCCAGGGGGCGGCGAGGTACCGAGGTGACCCGCGTGGGACGTACCTCCGCTGGGCCTCCCAGGAGCCCACGAAAGTGGCGACAGTTGCCCAGATCGCAAGTCCCCCAGGGGGCGGCGAGGTACCGAGGTGACCCGCGTGGGACGTACCTCCGCTGGGCCTCCCAGCAGCCCACGAAAGTGGCGACAGTTGCGCAGATCGAAAGCCCCCAGGGGGCGGCGAGGTACCGAGGTGATCCGCGTGGGACGTACCTCCGCTGGGCCTCCCAGGAGCCCACGAAAGTGGCGATAGTTGCGCAGATCGCAGACGGCACGAGAGAAGAGGAGACGGGAACACAGGAGACAGGAGAGAAAGAGGAGAGGAGGCGAGGAGGAGGAGGAGGAGGCGGAGGAGGAGGAGGTGGAGACCACACTGCTCTATTCACAACAAAAACCTCACACCACAGGAGGGTTGGGAAACAACGATTCAGAATGACAAATCATGATGTCGGGGGTCTGGGCGCGCAGCCAGCGCGCCCGCGTCGGACACGCACTTGCTCGCAGAAGCTAGAAACGGGCGGGGCGAGGATTAGAGCAATTCGTTGCAGAGCGTTCCGAAACTCTTTCAGAACTTTCCAGAGCGAGCGCGCTCTGGAACGGCCGTGGCGCCTGGTACATCTTCCAGGACCACCAGATTTCAGAGATCCCCGGTGTGTTTTGCTTAAGATTTTTCCTGGATCCAGACCGCACCGCTGACTGGCCAGGCAGCCTGCCCGGCCTCGGCCCGCGTGCGCTTTCCTCCTCCCCATACATGCGGCGTTTCGATGTTTTCAATACGGGGTCCCCAGAAGTCCCGACCCGTTCCCCAGGTCCAGCTTTTCATACCAGTCGTTTTTCGACGGTCCCTGGGCGTGGTGTGGGTCCCCTGAGGTCGAAGCCACGAAAAGACGCCATCGTATACGAGCGTTTCGCCAAGGGCTTCTATTATAAAAGGTAAAATGCCACAGACGAGTCCCACAGGTTGGATGGGTAGCCCGAGACCGCCCGCCCGGAATCGCCAGGTCCGGCAGCAGTTTGGCTTGGAATTCCTTGACATGTTTTTCGGCAATCGTGCCCTCACTTCCATGCCGGCTACACTGTCGTCCGGCCGCGGTCCTTGTCAATAACACACCACGGTGCACATGCATGGCCGTGTGTTTCCCAGGAAACTATCGGATAATCTAGTGCAGCACGTTTGGACTAGCCGACCTCCTACTCCCACCCGCCTCTTCACCTTTGCTGCTATCGTTGTTGGGGAATTTTGACAGTCTCAGGGGCCTGGCGAGGGTCCCCAGAGGCCGAAAACACAGAACAATGGCCGTTATGATGAATGCGGGTAACTTTTGGGTACTTATCAGGGGAGGGACCAGCGCTCCCAGCGGCGAACTTTTTTTTGATCTCACCCCGCGGTTGCGGCGGCTGCGGCTACGGAGTTGCGGCGTGTCAGTTTCTGCTGCTTGCTATGTTTCGCGTGGTGTCGAGAGGCTTGGCTCTGGCGACCTTGGGCCGCTCAAGCATTTATGACTATTGCCCCCTACGGCCGGCTCGCATTAGCCATTTTTGGCTCAGAGGGTCCGCCTGGCTCCTCGGCCCTCGCCCGCCGCGGGCCCAGCAGCCGCCCTGGGCGGGGGCACAGAGGGCCTTGAGCGCGGGCGGCTGACCAGCTGGTCTGCGCCCACGGCCCCGAGCTGCCGCGGGCGGCTCGGCGGCCGCAACGGGGGCGAATCAGAAGGCCGCAGAGCTTCTGAGAAGCCTCGCCGCGTTCTGAGAAGGCCTACTTACCCCCTCTCGGACGACTGGTCCCGTTCGGGGCGATCCGGGCACCCCTGGAACGCCCTCGGCGAGGCGCAGCCTCTGGAACGCATCCCGAGGCTGGAACACCAACACCGCGGAGAACTGGCGAAAACACTCTCGAACCTCGAAACTCGAACCCAGAACTACCAAGCTTCCCCCCTCGGCGCGCCGCCGACAGAAGGGATCGGCAACGCGCGTCAACTTCGAGCCCCTAAAGTTGGAGATATCCGAGCTGCGAGTTATCAGGGCAGGGGGGGGGGTCAGGGATAACTCCTGAGTCGGGCCACCCGTTTGCGGGCCAGAGTTGTCCCAGATTGCACTCAACTCGAATTTTTCAAGATCACATTATGCCCCTGTAGGTATTGCCCAGACGTCTTCAGAAGCATGAGATATTTGGGATCAAGTGGTTCCAGGGGTTTCCTGGATTACATGTGGAGCCGCCAAACAGGGCCTTACCCGGACCAGGTCTATCCCGGCAGGACAATTCGGGTGCCCAAACAGCCTTCAGAGGCAAAGTTCGCGGGGGATATGCTCAGGGGGGGACGTTCGATGTGTCATGGGCGCTCGCCTTCGACCGATGAAAATCTCACAGCGGATGCCGTGGGGAAACTGCACCGATTTCGACCAGATCATCTGGGGCCCTGGAGGGGCCCCCAAACCCTCGTCATGTTCCCCGCCCTCGCACCTGCGAACGGTACCGCCTTCGAGAATCGATGCCCTCGCGCACATGTGTCCAGGGGCTCCGATCGCCCATACCTTCGGCGAGGCTCTCTGGCGAGTAAGCTTGCAACGCCCGCCCCTCGGCTAATTATCCGCCCCTCTTGCTGGCCGCCCATCGCGCTGCACCAGCGCGGCGTGGTGCCTCGGGGGCCGGCGCCATGATGACTCCGTTCCCAGACCCAGCGCACATTCGGCCACATTTAAGGGTGACCCTTCGCCAGAGTTATTTCTGGTGCGGATCCACTTGGATCACCCGATCGCTAGATGCGGGATGACAGTAGCGGCTTGCGCGCGTGGTGCTGACCCCCCGCCCCTGCGCCCAAATCATGCCGTGTACCGAAGATCACTCTCGCCCAGAGTCGCTCTTGCGTGTAGCCGGCACATTGGACCTAATGCAGATCGTATCTTTGACCGTGCTGTACGGCTACGTCCTGCTTCACGCGTCGGATCTCATCAGCAGGGGCAGCGAGCTGCTGCTCCTGGTCCCGCGGTTCGCGCCAGTGGTGGGCAGCGTTGTGCTGCCGATCCTCGGGGCCGTGCCCGACGGCATGATGGTGCTGATGTCTGGGCTCGGCGAGGACGCGCAGGAGTTTCTGTTTATGTGGCCTTCTCTTCTTCTAGAGCTGGCCGTGGGTGTTGGCGCCCTGGCGGGTAGCACCGTCATGCCATGCTGCTCACGTTGCCTTGGTTCTCAGAAGGAGAACGTACCGATACCGCTGCCCTTCCCTCGTCGCCACGGCTGGATTCGCCTCGAACGTCTGGTCAGAACGCACCCCTGGAGAAGTCTGGGGAGCAGCAGTATCAGTGCTGTCTTGTCCCCTCAGGTTCCTTGCGGTGCTCACTGGCCGCGTGAGCGTGAGCCCAAAAGACGGAAGCATGACCGGCCTCCGGGAGCGCCGGCCAATGGACTGGCAGAAGCTGAGGCCCGAGCACTAGTGGAGCTTGCTGCGGTCCAGGGTCTCGATCGGAGTGGAGACCAAGGCTCAGAGGAGGAGGAGGAGGAGGTGCCGATACCGTTACCCTCACCTTGCTTTCGCATTTTTGGGACTATTGGGAGGCCTTCGTCGCAACGGCTGGATTCGCCTCGAAATTTCAGTCAGAACGCACCCTGGGAGAGTCCAGGGAGTAGCGGTACCGGTACCTCCTGGGTTTCCCACAAGGCGGGCGCCAGAATGATGTTAGGCACCCTTGTGTCTTACTTCGTGATCCAGGGCTCCGCGTTTGCGGTGGACAGGCCTGAAGACAGGGCTGGCCTGCGCACGGATGCCGAGGTCCAGGAACACGTTGACTCCGAGTCCAGGCTCGAAACTCCTTACGCACTGGCAGGCCTGGTCATTTGCGTGGTAGAATTTGCTTATCATTTGTTCGACCAGAGCAGATCTGCGGGTGCTCTCGAAGGCCTGGTGGACGACATGATCGTTGAGGCGTACGTCGATGACTTAAAAGCGGGCCAGAGTTTCAATCCGAGGCGCCATGGCGAAGTTCAGGGACAGCACGTGGGCATCGCGGTTGAGCGGCGGCCTCGAGGAGGCTTTGATCAATGGCCAGGACCTCTCGGAGATACAGCGCATGTGCAAGATCTTGCACCCGTTCTTCATCAAGTACGACACTGACAATAACAAAGAGATATATTTCAACGAATTCTGTGTGATTTCCAGAGATATCGAAGACGCCTACGGCGAATCACCGCTGCCCCCTCCCTTGCCTTCTCGGAAACGCCTACGCTGCCAAACGCTGGGTCGAAGTCTGGCAACACTATTCGATCGGGGGAACACTTGGGAGATGACGAGGAATGAGGAGGAGAGGAAGGATAATGAGGAGGAGGAGGAGAAGGAAGACGAAGATGAGGCCTCTTGGGACCCTCTTGGGCCTCCTGGGGGCTTCCTGGGACTTTCTTGGGAGACCTATGAGGGGCCTCTTGGGGGCCTCCCGGGGCCACTTGCGAAGCTCTTGGGGGCGTCGGGCGTTTTAGGGTCGCCTTGGAGGTCTATGGGGCAGACTTGGGGCTGTCTTGGGGGCGTCCTGGGCCATCTTGCAGCTCTCTTTTGCAATATTGTGGGCCTTCCGTAGCCATTTTGGCTCAAGTCCGTAGCCATTGTGGCTCAGCGGACTGAGTTTTGGTACTGGGGAGAGACGGTCCCAACAGCCATAAACCAGAGTTTTGGGGTTTTGCCCCACTCTAGATATTCATTACGAAGTGTGCATGGCGCCGAATAGTTCCCGCCCGGGCCCGTGGACCAAGCAGCAGCCTGCACCAGCAAATGGATACGGTGAGTGGTGGAATGTCAGCGTGTATCCGCCGTTGGCGGGCAGTCGTGGCCAGTCTCGTGTTCCCAGTCCTTGGTGGGGGGCGCTAACGGTCGCGACCGACGGTGGAATGCCTGGAGTGCGGCAGGTGGTTGTTCCAAGATCGGCTTAAGGCGAAAAAGGATTTGTGCGAGTGTGGTGCTTGGTTTCATTCTCGCGACGGCGTTCTTGTTCGCAGGTCAGCCATGGGACCCCCAGCAGTTGCAGGCAATTTCAGCAGAGCTTAGCGGCGGGAAGGGTGCATATTCCAACACGAAGAAGGCTGTGGATTCTCTCGTCGCAGCCTTGCAGCAGCCACCTGAGCTCAAGCCCAAGCCTCCAGGACAGGCTCTCCAGATGGCATCAGCCAGGCTTCAGCGCAGCCGCAAGGCGCTAGAGGCCGCAACGGAGCAGTGGAAGCGAGCAAAGCAGGAGTTGGAGAGGTGCCAGGAGAAGCTCTGTGCGTGCACGGAGGAGGTGGTGGCTGCCGAGAAGGAAGAGATCGAGCGGGCCCGTGAGTCCCTTCCATCCGAGGAGCCGGTACAGTGCGGGGCAGTGCTGGATATCCAGGAGGTGCTCGATGGTAAGTTGGACCGGGAGATCAGTCTGGGAATCGATTCGGAAGGGCTCGGGCTGGCGCAGCAGGATCAGGACATCCTGGAAAAGGCTAAGGGGGACCTCCAGTCGATGCTCCAGAAGGCGGTCCGTGAGTCGCGCGGGCAGATCAACACACAGCTGCAGGAGCAGAAGGCCAAGGTGGCCGACGTCCTGGAGCGAGCCAGGAAGAAGCGCAAGGGCAATGAGGGCATGGCCCATGCCCAGGATGCAGCGCCAGCGGGGCCAGGTGCGGCGACGGGTGCAGAGGCAGAGAGCCCTGCATCCGCAGCCTCGGCCGCCGCCCCTCGAGCCCCCGCAGTGGCGTCTGCCAGCAGAGCGAGTGCTGACCAGCTGCGTGGAGCAGCTACCAGTCTGCAGGGTGAGGTTGATGGCGTGGTGCAGTCGATGCGAGAGAACCTGCAGACGGAGGCACAGCGTGGGTGACGACACTCTAAAGTGAGTTGGGGATACAGGTGGGTGGGAACGAGCGTGCGCCCGCGGCCGCTTGGCTCAAGCGGCCGGCCGCCCAGATCTGACTACACCTCAGTGCGAGGCGTACTGTTTTGCCATCGATACCAAACTTGCTTGAGATGGTTCGCCTCCTACTACTGGGACTATCACTACTACGGTACAACAGAGCTGGAGCTGGGCTTCGCCGCAGGCGAAGCTGCTGGTTGGGCCTCCCAACCCCTTTCAAACTTGGTAGCGGAGCTGGCCTACGGTGGTCAGATCTTGCTTGGCTCCCCACCATCCACGGCACTATCTGGTGGACTACTGACGTGGTGGAACATCCGGGTGCAGTGGGTTTGCGCGAAGGAATGTATATAATTACGCAACATAGCAAGGACACGTGCAGTGATACCTCTGCCTACGCAAGAGGCCTCTTACTCGCGTCCTACATCCCTGCGCTACTACACTTCTGAAGTCCACCAACCTGCTCCAAGTGGAAACTTCTTCGAAGACATCATGCATGGAAACATGCGATACGACGTTGCGCCGCTTCCACCCTGGCGCAGGCTTACGACCGCACGCCGCAAACCCCAACCAGCCACATCCGACTACGACCTACGAGCCCATTGGATTGGTATAACTGCATTTGGGCCCACATGGGTTGCTATCGGGCGTGCGGTGGGGCTCATGCGTGGCGGAGACGACGCAAGAACGACCGGCCCCCATTGTGGCCCGTCTGGTCAAGTACTTTTCTGCGAATTTGTTCGCGAGGTGCATATCTGGATCAACGTGACCACAGGCACCGTGGCGCCCTCCCATCAAGCTGTAGCCCTGCAGCGAGGCTTGGGACGCCTCGCACGGACCATAGCTACGAGACTTCCCCCAGCAGATATCAATTTCGGCGTAAACATAGGTGGCCGCCATGCCGATGGCGCCACCTACATCAAGCTCCTCTTAAGTACGAAGTTCGAGAACCTAGAAGAGGAACGCCAACTCAACTCCTGGCACAGCTCTCATTGACTTCCGAGCCCATGCGGGAGAACGGATCGACCAGACTTTGGCGCGCTTCGAGATAGCCCGCTATGAAGCTGAAGCGGCAGGCTTCAACGTCCCCAACTTCCAAGTTCTAACAGTTATTGTATTCAGAGCCCTTGGGGTGGGGACGTCGCGTGCACAACAACACCTACAGCCACTAGACCACCGCGTGCCGAGGGGCCAGCGCAGTTTGACTCTCTACTTGAACGCGTGAGGTCAGATGCCCACATTGCCGAAAGAAACCCTGGCAATATCGGTGGCATCTTCAGTCGCCATCGCCGCGCCGAGACCTTCCACGCTGAGGCCAACGCAGGGCAACCGGCAAATTACTCACTGCGTGGAGCTCCCCATATGTGCATCCTTTTTTAAAGGTAAGATTGTATATGGGTCTACAGGAACACACGTAAAACACCAAGGACTCGTGCCCCAGGAGAGGCCCAATATATAGGAACAAAAGTAAAACAAGTCGGACTGCTTACACAGGAGAAGGACAATATATAGAAACATACGTAGAACATCAAAGAATCGCGCTCCAGGTGAGGCCCAATCGATAGGAGCATACGTAAAACACATGGGATTGGAGCCACTCCTGTTGCCTTCTGAGGCCTCCTGCTCCTGGGGCCTCTCGGGGCCTCCTGTTGCCTTCCGAGGCCTCCTGGCACTCCCTGTTGCCTCCTGGGGCCACCTGTGGTTTCCGGAGGCCTTCTGGAGCTTCCTGGGGCCTCCTGGAGCCTCTTGGGACATCCTGTGGCCTCTTGAATCTTTCTGTGGCCTCCTGATGCCTCCTGGGACCTCATGTGGTCCCCTGGGGCTTCCTGGAGCCTGTTGGAGCCTCCTGCGGCATCCTGAGAAGAATCTGCGCCCGCGAGCCTGGCCACCAAAACAGGCAGACCGATCGAGACATCCTCAAAATCTGGCCCACCTGGGGGGTGAAAATGAGCGCCTCGCTCGAGACATCCTCCAAATCTGCTCCGAAAGCGAAGGATGTTGAGCCCAGAAACAAGCAAACCGCCTGAGACATCCCCGCAAAATGGCCGCGAACGAGCCCGTGCAACCACCCCTGGCGGCTCCCCTTAGGGCCACGAGCCTGGCCACCAAAACAAGCAAACCGATCGAGACATCTTCAAAATCTGGCCCACCTGGGGGGTGAAAATGGGCGCCTCGCTCGAGACATCCTCCAAATCTGCTCCGACAGCGAAGGATGTTGAGCCCGGGAACAAGCAAACCGCCTGAGACATCCCCACAAAATGGCCGCGAACGAGCCCGTGCAACCACCCCTGGCGGCTCCCCTTAGGGCCACGAGCCTGGCCACCAGAACAAGCAAACCGATCGAGACATCCTCAAAATCTGGCTCACCTGGAGGGTGAAAATGAGCGCCTCGCTCGAGACATCCCCCAAATCTGCTCCGAAAGCGAAGGATGTTGAGCCCAGAAACAAGCAAACCGCCCGAGACATCCCTACAAAATGGCCGCGAACGAGCCCGTGCAAACACCCCTGGCGGCTCCCCTTAGGGGTGCTGAAACCAGCGCCCCACCTGAGACATCCTCACTATCTGCTCCGAAAGCGAAGGATGTTGAGCCCAGAAACAAGCAGACCGCCTGAGACATCCCCACAAAATGGCCGCGAACGAGCCCGTGCAAACACCCCTGGCGGCTCCCCTTAGGGGTGCTGAAACCAGCGCCCCGCTTGAGACATCCTCCAAATCTGATGCGTGTTGAGTAAGTCTGAGTATGAGTAGGTCTGAGTATGAGTATGCCTGAGTATGAGTAAGTCTGTGTATGAGTAAGTCTGCGTATGAGTAAGTCTGGGTATGAGTAGGTCTGTGTGTGAGAAAGTTCTGAGTATGAGTAAGTCTGAGCATGAGTAAGTCTGAGCATGAGGAGGGGAGGGGGAAAGAGGAGGAAGGAGGAGGAGTAGGAGGCGTCCAAGTAATAACAAGAACCCCATCTTAGGATATGGGGAACAAAGTTCGGAATGGCGATCCGCAACCAACGGAGACCACCGCATTATTGCTTCAAAGTGGTGGTTCGGCTTCGGGTTTGCAAGACTCCTGGGCCCAGTTTCGGGGGCCGCCCGATGCGGCAGCCCCCGCGCAAGCCGCCGCCCTATTGGGCTCAGCGGGGCAACCTGCTGAGTCCGACTTCGACTCTGGCACCGACGCCGACGCATCTTCGGGCGACGAGGCTACCGCCCCAGACAACTCCGATATGCTCGGGTACCTCACGGCAGAACAACGGGCGCAATG